ACTCATTCATGATTTCTGTTCGATACCTATTCAGCTCACTATAATTATATTTGAAAAGATATGCGGCTCACCCGAATCATGGGCAAAGGTCTACAGAGTAAAGGCAACTTGAATTAGAGAATAACTGCATATTTAAATAACACTTTTGATTTCTACAGAGTCAGAAAAATAATTTCAGTAATTCGCTTTAGAATATTATATAACAGATGTAAGTCTATGCAAATACAATTATCACGTATAAAAATAAAATTCAAATATTCTTCAACGATATTACAGATTATTTTATCAGTGTGGAATACAATATGGGAAACTACTGGAAACTCTTTCCATCGATCGAAGAAAGCAGACTAAAGATCTTGCCAAGGTGGGGGGAGTAAAAAAGTAAGGTTAAAATAAAACGTGTCTCTTTTTCTGAGACAAAAGATTAAATGTCAGGAGCAAAGTTTCAACCTCTCTCCCCTCCCGGAGAAAAGAGGCTACAACTTGTTTAAAACTGCAGCAGAGAAGTTACTCTTCTAATCCTCTTTTCAAATGCTGAGTTGATTTCGAAGGTAAAGTAGAATTAAGGAGAGAAAAATATATTAATTAACGATGCTTACTTTTATGATTTTTAATGAGTTTTTTTTAACTACATTCACAGCGTAATTTTTTTTCCTGGCTCTAAAGTACAAGAGAATTGTTAATTTCCTTCGGATACAATGCAAAGATAAGTTACACAAAGTTTTATTTACGACTGACGATAAAATAGAAATTCTTAATAAGCCAATTTTACGCATTCAAAAGTTGTTTAACCGAGTTGTTATGAGGTACTTTATTTAATAATCAAATATACAAGTCTACACAAGTTCTTTATTTTACAAATAATACCCCCACATATATGTTAATCTAAAATACCTTTCGATTTCTTAAAATGAATTAGACTAAACAAAACTTGAATTCTGAAAAAGAGAATTAGATGTGGAATATGGCCGACAAAAAATAATGTAGGTAGTTTCAGATCAGAAAGTTTACAGCAGTTTAAAACTAAACAGAGTGAAAAGTAACTAGAAAAAGATGAGAAATCAAACGGATACTAATGATTCTGTTGCATTCCGGCAATTAATATTTATTAATGATTCATACATTTGATACTGTATTTCCAAAACATAATCATGCATAAAACAAACAAAACAAATTTTATTTGTTCATTTTAAACAAAACAAAATATTTTGCTTCAAATACACCTACTATGGAACTTCTGAACCAATGACCAATGTTCCCTCTTAAAGTGCGCAAGGTTTTCCCTGAAGTTGCACTCCTCTTTCTGCCAGCCATCTATCTATAAACTAAAAATTCGCGATATATTGTACATATTTCGCCCTATCTGAAAATATTTCTCTTAGGTGATATTCTGCACAGGACAAATATAAGAAAAAATTGAGAAAATGTTAATGGTTCTTCTTGGGTTCGATTTCCGGCGAATGAATGGGATACTTACATCGGGTAGCTTTACTGATTAATGATATATATGCTAGCTGATCTTCCTTAGATAGTCCTCTTATAAAGGCATCTGTCTTAAGTCACGTAGTCAGACAGTTTTACTGTAAAATATAAATTAACATCAAACACAACGAGAAAGAAGACTCTTGGTTATGTATTTCGAGCTGCAAACAACAGTTCATTCTTATTTAAATCAGTTGTAGACTACTGCCATTTTTTATCCCAGATGGCTAATATGCATACCTTTCATCAAACACGATGTTGAAGTCATTTGTAAGAGCGAAAATAGCTTCCATCACCTCTCCTTTCATTTACCGACTTGATGCTTTGCATAAAACTCAGTCGGCTATTTATTTCTCTAAACCAGGGATTAAAGGAGTTAACTAAATAAATAATAGTTGACTACTGAGAATCTGTTAATGGTATCTTGCTTCCGACGATATTTTAAAAGTAGGTGATCTTAGTGATTTGTAAAGGCTTGGTATTGCAAAGCAACGGTGAATGAGTCATTTTATTTAAGGTTCTTGGTGAGATAAGATAGGGGACCCCCAAGGAAAAGCACTATTCTTGTGTATGTAAATAATTAAGACAAAACTGACGAGATTAGATAGGTGACCTTCCAGAGAAAACGACTGTCAGATTAAAAGTTTTATTTTTACTATGTCAGTAGTTTCGAGTAATTATTAACTTGTGTAACATCAAATTGGTTACAGAAAAATTTCAGCTTCACTCTTTTTTAAATGTTCCGCCGCTACTCCTTAAGCTGAAATATGAAATACGAGAAGTTGGAAGCAAAAGGATAATATAAAGCCAGCTGATAAAAAGAGAAAACGTTTAGCGTATACAGAGAACTAAACTGAAGGCTATATATTAAGCAGCAAGCTTGTCAAAAATGTCCTTTTACGTAATTGTCTTTCCTAAGTTGAAAGTCATTTTTTCTAATTTAAAAGCTCAAAAATCTAAATCTAAAATTATGGCACGACTTCCATGAGGAGGCCTCAAAAGCATTTTTCATTATTTGCAAAATGGTCTATAAAACTGCAAGTGAAAAATCTATACAGAACTTAGTTTCATCAAATAGCTGCTGAAGTATTTGAAAATTAGTTAGATTTTCCCAAATTATCTCTTTTCGAGAAAAGGGATAAAGAAAGTTGAATCAAACTTTGGGTTCTCGTAAGGCGAGAGTTTAAAACAGAATAAAATATGTAATTGAGTATTGTTACAAATTACGTTTGCAGTTTTTGGAATTAAAGGATTATTCAATTATGATTGAAAATCAGAATTTAAAAAAGTCGCTACTTGTATTTAACAAATACTGATAATTCTGCCATCACAAGAATCCCAGTAAACGTCCTAATGCGGAAAGCTTATAGAATTACCAAAGACGTATAAATTTTGAAACATTTACACACCACCCAATCAAACACCTGATGCCGATAATGTCGGAATCCATTATTTCAGCTATGCAACATAGAAATCCGTCTTGCCACATTGTATTTGATAACTCAGAGGAAAAAATCTTGCATGAAGGATTCATTTATTTCTCTGCTGTCTTAAATGTACATACAATTTGTACTATTTGCACTTTTAAAATTGTCCATCACTAAAATACGATATAAGCATAAAAGGAAACCCCAGTCTTAAAATACCCAAATTTATATGCCAGAATTCATTTTTGAAGCTTATTAAAGGATGTTAAACATCAGAATAGGAAACGTACCCACATAATGTCACAAAACATATAAAAAATCATCTTGAATTCCTCAGGAAAAATACGAAGTTGCTTAAAAAAATAAGGACGAAGGAAATTTTTGTTTTTGAGAAAACACTATAAACAACACACTGAATAACAGATTTTTCAAGCATTATAAACAGCGCTGAAGACTAGATTTTATGCCAAAGAAAAATACATTGAACCAAAATCATACTGTTAAGCCATTAATAAGTTACCTGACATAATAAATAATAGAAATTTAATTAAGTAAATAATTTACGAAGGAGTAAAAAGTAATGAAGAATCGGGAATCTAAGCAAAAATACTACATTTGCTCAAACAAAATTAAGCAATACCTAAAAAGGACATTTTAATTTTTTATAGTTATGATTTTATAAAAAGGGAAAAAATAAGGAAACTATAACTGTTGAGCGATTAATAATATGCCTGTTATTATAAACAAAAATAATTTAGTACAGCGAAAGTAAATAAATAGGAAATACAAATACGAAATTTTTGAAAATAATGCATGTTTTATAATTTGCACAATAAAAAGTCAAAAGTGATTCTTATTTTATAAACACCAATACGAATAGTTATTTATGTCCTCTGCAGTTGGTGATAATATATACTTAGAAGGGGGGAAAAATGCTTTCTTAAAAAAAAAAAAAAAAAGAAAAGAAAAAGAAAAGAAAAGGGAATTGTTGAAGACTACAAATTATACCTTGATGACCGGATATACCTTGCATCTTAAATTAACAGATAAGATATATAACGAACAGAAATCCCGAAATTCGTATTTGTTTTATTACTACTATTATTTTCAAACGAAGCTTAAAGGCCATTGCTTCCGGTATTACACCGGCTTGATGCGCAAACAGATTGCGCGCATTTTCGGCTTATGACGCAATTGCCTGCTAACGTCTTTTGACAGTTCTACTATCAACAAACTGGGGGGAAAAATTCTCATGTCAAACGCTTCCTGAAGTATTTCTGCAACGATTTAACTGATTATAGATATGTTTTAATACTTATTCACATAAGAAAAAGGAAACATTAGCAGCTTATTTTCCGCAAATGTGTTTTCTAAGTTTCAGCTTTCTAGGATTTAAGACGCAAGCCAGTAGCTGCAGTACTTTTCAAAATTCTGTTTAAATATATATTTTTTACATAAAGGAATTGATTTAGAAAAAACCGCGCATGCTGTACGAGCTTTTCTTTGCTTCCCTAACAAGTCATACAAAAAATTGAAAAAATTTCAAGCATTCAAACATCGAATCTTGAAAATTAAAAATTTTTTAAGTTCTTTTTAAAAGAAATGAAAAATTCGTATGTGATGTATTTCTATATTTCTTAGCAGCGTTAATAAATTACGAAAGATTAAACAAAATTTTGCTACTATTATACTTTTCGCATAAACACCGCTTTAAATACCATTGTAAGAAGAAAAAGTTTATGTTAAATGGAAGACATCAAGAGCAAAAATTAGATTTAAAAAAAAACACACACAATAATGATAAATAATTTTCAGTAGCTAGTTTTAATTAGAACACAGATAGATATTAAAGGGAAAAAATTTTTTTTCAAGCGTTTTTCTGATTGGTTTACCCTTTAATAGTTTATTTGAATATAATAGCATATTAATTCTGCAAAAACATTTTAAAACAAATTGAAACAATAAAGTCATATTAGGAAGGAACACAAAAAGTTCAGTTTTTTACTTAAAAAGTATGATATTACAAATACCACCCCACAAATTTTGATATTAGTAATTTTTTTTTTTTTTTTTTCTTTGAGAGAAGTTTACCTTTACGCGACTTCATTTTGGCAGATGGAACAGGGACTTTTTCCCTCCCTCTTTTCAAATCCACGATCGATGAGAGGGCAACAGCAGCCCTTCAGAAAAGGGTTGTAGAAAATATAAAACACTTCAGTGGTGCTGGACTAAAGAGGTCCGAGATGCTCGGACAGCACAGAACGCACGTGTTTCAAGACTGACAGAAGGAGCGAGATTCAACATTGAACGTGAAAATGGTTGCCAGCAGAGCGCCAAGAACAAGAATTCGTCGCCAGAGCGGCGAAATACTCCGTGTTATGAAAATGAACATTCTCAAGGATGTGGAAAAGCCTTTTTGTCGCTTAAAAATAGACTGAATAACGAATTATCCCGCCTTTTATTCTAGAAGCATACCTACGAAGACCTGTCATCAAGATCAGAATTAAACTTAAAACTTGGTAATAAGCAACTTACTGGTTTAAAACTTGGCAATGTAAGACATGTTTGGTTAGATTTGCAAAGCCAACATTTGTGTAATAAATTATTGAAATTCAATTAATAAAAACGTTTCAGGTTACTGTTCAAAACTGAATTGTAATTTTGGTTTAAACTGAAGAATTCTGTTGATTTAAATTAAGGAATTACTGGGTCACAATAATAAATTAAAATGCACGATAACTGAATTCATCAATTAATGATCTCTCACGTTCGCAGACTTAATTAACTGTCACAAAACAGAGAGCGAGCTTTAGGTATAATAAGACACAGGAATTTTCGAAGCAGTTGCACAACTAAGTATCTCTTGAACGGTTGTTAGTAGACCCACACTTCTAGTTAACTAACCAAATGATTTGATTCAAGGAATTTTAATTTATGAAATGTATCAATTGAAGTATGGCAACTTTGTAACGTGACATCTTTGCATAAATTTATGGGAAATTTAAGTTCTTAGGCAGGCCCTTTAAAAAGGAATTTTATTTTACGATTATAATATTTTAGACAGATATCCGTAAAAGGGATCCAAATATCATAAATTAGTACGGATGTAAAGACTAAGTTTTTCGGAGCAAAAGACGTGAAAAATCAGCTGTGACCTCTCCAGTATTCGAACCGTAAATCTTCAAGCTGTTAATTGGATGCGCAAACAATCAGCTACACCACTATCAGACCTGCTAGCTAACCCCCAACTGCGTGTCGAAAAAAACATTTCCGGGAATCTGCGTTTCCAGAATATCTAATCGGTTGTCTTTTTTATCAAGTCAACCAGGGAAACCAGTTCTTGGCTGAAGATCATCGAGAGACAGAGCTTAAGGCGAAACATTTTCACGACTTCGTAGAATGTCCTGCATATATACCCGCAACATATCGTGAAACGCAATTATTTTGGCAAGAAACCTCTTATTTAAAATAGTGATGAAAGAAACCCATTTCTCGAAAACATTTCTTATAGCGTCGCGCCTCGTTATATATGGGGGGAAAAAACATTAACTTATAATAGAAGTGCTAGCGAAAGTGAATTACATTCTGAACTTAAATGGTGATTATAGTTAGGCGAGATATCCAGCCGATAAATCCAGGAGCTGATAATTTATCGTCTAGCGCATTGCAGTTCGGGCGCCAGTGCCGAGGTTGTTAGGCTCTCGAAAGAGAGAAACACGAAAAATCAGCTATGGTTCCTTCAGGATTCGAACGGAATTTTTCTAGTTACTAAGCAGACGAGATTACAACCACTTACACTGGAGCACGCATGAATGAAAGCGGTGATTCCTTATAAGGAATGAATAAGACACTTCTTTGATTAATAACAGCAGAAAAGAAATCCAGATGTCTAGGAGGAACGTAAATGTAAAACAGAGAGGGATTTCACTTCCCTTAATTTTCTAGAATAAATTTCGGCCACTTAAGGAGAACAAACATACTGCAGGAATTAGGAAACATTTCGGATCCTTTGTCCGAAAATTTTAGATGCTTACACCGCACTGATTAGAAAACCAGTTACAAAAGCAAGAGGTAATATTGTTAGGGAGGAAGTAGGTGTGATAAGCTGATAAGTTCAGTCTGATTCCATAATTCTGTGTCGTCTGAGTAAATGTTTGTTTCAAAATCCTTCACTGATCTTCATTTTGTGGCCGAATCAGGTTTGGCAGAATTATGCCAAACTATGCACAACTGTCAAAGTTTATTTTTTCAAAGATCATACTAATTAACCCGCTAATCCTTTTGAAGGTAAAGGATAATAACAACAAAGTGTTCTACTCTGATATGTGGTACTATATGCATTTTTTATCCAAACTTTCAAACGGGAGGGCCGAAGTCAAAATGAAAAAGAACCTAAGAACTTTATTTTTCTAAGATGCAAAAACGTTAATGTTTTCAAAACTAAAGAAAAGAGGATCTGAATCGTTACATCTTTTGCTTTAGGGATAAAAGGTTTGTTACAGTTGTCTGCAGGCTATAGAAATTATTATTAGTAGTATTGTTACGGGGAAATGTCCACTAAATTTCTTTTTGTTAGGGAAAGAAATCCACAGAACTACTTAATGCAAATACAGTGTTATGCGGGAATTACCGAAACTTTCCAAAAGAAATTACAGTCAGCTCCCGATTAACATATTTGCGGATTATCCGACCCCTATAAAAATAATTATATTTATTTTTTGCGTTATAACAGGCAAAATTATTATCACAACTCTCAGTATAAAATACACTCATGTCCATAAATTAAGGATAATTCGGAGTCAAGCGGAAATCGAACTCTAAAATAAATATATCCCCTGCAAAATCACTACACACATCTTCAAGAATCATATGCAAATTTCAGGAAGTAACCAGATGACACCGATGGTACGTCACAATGACGAGAGTGTAAGAGTTACTGTACTCATGTGTAGAGAGTATATATATAAGGAATACAGGCAAAGAAGTAAAATTGTTCGCAAGCGCTTTATAAGCATTTCAGTGAAATAACCGAATAGTTATGACACAAAGGACGCATTTGGATGATTTTTTACGTGGTAAAATTATCGGCCGTCTGGTATGTGGGTGTACCCAACTGGAAGTATCAGAAGAACTTGGAATTCGCCAGAGTGTCATCTCCAGGCTTTGGCAACGATTCCAAGATGATGGTATGTGAGTAGACGTTACAGGCACAGGTTCGCTGGAGAGTTTACAACGCCGAATGAGGACCGTATTTGGAAGTTATTGCCAAAAAAACAGGCGGAGCATACCCTCAGACCTGCTCGTCGCTCTCTTCAGCCCACTGGTACGACAATTTCAAGGCAGACCGTGTACAGACGCTTAGGGCAGATTGGTCTATATGCTCGTAGACCCTGTCAGATGCGTTCCACTTACTGCACTCACTGTCGCCTGCGGTTAGCCTGGAGTAGAGCAGTATTGTGGACACCCAACAGTGGGCTTGTGTGATTTTTCCGACAGTCCAGGTTAGCTTGCAGTCTGATTCTCCGCCGGACTTTCATATGGAGAGCTCCAGGTACCCGTTACCACCAAAAACATCATTGAACACACCGTTACGGTGGTGCAGGAGTGCTCGTATGGGTGGAATTATCTGGGTTCCAGAACTGACCTGCATGTTCAAATTCAACCATGACAGCCAAATCTATCGGGACGTCATTCTGGAACAACATGTACGTTGTTTCGGGCGCACAATTTGTTTTATGGACAAACCCCGTCCTCCCGGCCAACCCGTAAGCGAATGCCTTCAATCAGGATCCCGTATGGACTGGGCCAGAATTCTCACCGGACTTGAATCCAAGCGCGTGTGGGACATGTGCCAACGTGCGCCTGTCACCTCCTCCTACATTTCTACCGAACTTCGGAGAGCATTGCTTTTGAGTGGTGTAATATCCCCCAAGATCTCGATAATTTGATCCTCATCATGCTAGGCGTTGTACGGACTATATGCACGTCTGGGAGACATACAATGTATTAACAATCTACCAACCGGTAAATGTTTTTTGTAAATAGGTTTTTTTTTGTAATTTTGCTTCCAGGGAGAAAAAATCGCTAATATTTTAGTAATATCAACATATAGCATTTTTTTTTTGCTTTTAACCTTTTGTTTAATAATTAAGCTTACAAATAAGTCAAATTTGTTTTGCTTCTAACTCTTCCTTTGCCTGATTTTTGCAGTATCCTTAATTTATGGATATGAGGTAATATTGTCTATGAAAAATACAAAAAGGGAAGGAAAAATTGATGTAATACTGTTTGGTAATATTATTTAATTCTGTGTAACTTGGAATACATAACCATTACACAAAAAACAATAAGTTTTTCGCGAGTTCGAACTCAATCACATTGTTTAAGTTCTCATGTAAATACTGATCATTGAGGCCATTATAACTCGATTTCTTCATTTCTAATGATGTTTATTCTTCCTTTATTTACAGTTTATTCTTTTTGCTTTGAATACTGATTTAATTTACGTAAACAAATTAGCTCATGCTGCAAATTAATATTGTTGCGTACGTAAGGGTTCGTAATGGATTGAATGCACAAGTCTAATGAAAAGTTAATAAAATTTATTCTTAT